CTGCTCTGAATGACATGCCATGCCTTTTGATGGCTTGAACTTTGGGAAAGATTTTTTCCTTTTTTTTTTTAGTTTTTTTGAAGCATCCATGCCATGTCTATTATACCTTCCCCTCCAAGCTTTGTCTTCTTCCTTGACTTTTTCCCCTGCTTTTGCAACGTCTCTGAGCTCAGTTTGGGCATGTTTTGGTTTTTTGCACTGCTCTGATAGAATCCCGGTCCATTTTCTCATACTCACTAAATTGCCCAAATTTCCACATTTTCTTTTTTTTCTCCTCCAATTGCAATTCCTTTAATGCTATCTCCTTTCCAGCATGTTTCTAAGTCCTTCCTTTTGCTTTTGGCCTTCAGCGGGGATCAATTTTGGCAAGCTTTGCTGCATCTTCCTGCACTTGATAGCGTATGGGAAAGATTTTTTTTTTTTTTTTTTTTTTGTTAAGCATCCATGCCATGTCTATTATACCTTCCCCTCCAAGCTTTGTCTTCTTCCTTGACTTTTTCCCCTGCTTTTGCAACGTCTCTGAGCTCAGTTTGGGCGTGTTTTGGTTTTTTCCATTTTCTCATACTCACTAAATTGCCCAAATTTCCACATTTTCTTTTTTTTCTCCTCCAATTGCAATTCCTTTGATGCTATCTCCTTTCCAGCGTGTTTCTAAGTCCTTCCTTTTGCTTTGGGCCTTTAGCGGGGATCAATTTTGGCAAGCTTTGCTGCATCTTCCTGCACTTGATAGCGTACGGGAAAGATTTTTTTTTTTTTTTTTTTTTTTTTTGTTAAGCATCCATGCCATGTCTATTATACCTTCCCCTCCAGGCTTTTTCTTCTTCCTTGACTTTTTCCCCTTCTTTTGCAATGTCTGTGAGCTTAGTTTGGGCATCTTTTGTTCCTTTGCAATGCAGCTTATTTCCTCACAGACCATTTCTTGAAGATACTACAACGCCCCATTTTCTGGTTTTTTGGGGTTTTTTTCAGTTGCATTTCATTTGATCCTATCTCCTTTCCAGAGTGTTTGGAAGCCTTTCTTTTTGGATTCGCAAGATTCCGTTTCCCTTCCCGAAAGGAAATGAAATTTCCTTTCGGGAAGGGAAACGGAATCTTGCGATTTCAATGGGGACCAAGAGAGGAATCTTTGGGGCATGTCCCTGCTCTGAATGACATGCCATGCCTTTTGATGGCTTGAACTTTGGGAAAGATTTTTTCCTTTTTTTTTTTAGTTTTTTTGAAGCATCCATGCCATGTCTATTATACCTTCCCCTCCAAGCTTTGTCTTCTTCCTTGACTTTTTCCCCTGCTTTTGCAACGTCTCTGAGCTCAGTTTGGGCATGTTTTGGTTTTTTGCACTGCTCTGATAGAATCCCGGTCCATTTTCTCATACTCACTAAATTGCCCAAATTTCCACATTTTCTTTCTTTTCTCCTCCAATTGCAATTCCTTTGATGCTATCTCCTTTCCAGCATGTTTCTAAGTCCTTCCTTTTGCTTTTGGCCTTCAGCGGGGATCAATTTTGGCAAGCTTTGCTGCATCTTCCTGCACTTGATAGCGTATGGGAAAGATTTTTTTTTTTTTTTTTTTTTTTGTTAAGCATCCATGCCATGTCTATTATACCTTCCCCTCCAAGCTTTGTCTTCTTCCTTGACTTTTTCCCCTGCTTTTGCAACGTCTCTGAGCTCAGTTTGGGCGTGTTTTGGTTTTTTCCATTTTCTCATACTCACTAAATTGCCCAAATTTCCACATTTTCTTTTTTTTCTCCTCCAATTGCAATTCCTTTGATGCTATCTCCTTTCCAGCGTGTTTCTAAGTCCTTCCTTTTGCTTTTGGCCTTTAGCGGGGATCAATTTTGGCAAGCTTTGCTGCATCTGCCTGCACTTGATAGCGTACGGGAAAGATTTTTTTTTTTTTTTTTTTTTTTTTGTTAAGCATCCATGCCATGTCTATTATACCTTCCCCTCCAAGCTTTTTCTTCTTCCATGACTTTTTCCCCTGCTTTTGCAACGTCTGTGAGCTTAGTTTGGGCATCTCTTGGTCCTTTGCAATGCAGCTTATTTCCTCACAGACCATTTCTTGAAGATACTACAACGCCCGATTTTCTGGTTTTTTGGGGTTTTCTTCAGTTGCATTTCATTTGATCCTATCTCCTTTCCAGAGTGTTTGGAAGCCTTTCTTTTTGGATTCGCAAGATTCCGTTTCCCTTCCCGAAAGGAAATGAAATTTCCTTTCGGGAAGGGAAACGGAATCTTGCGATTTCAATGGGGACCAAGAGAGGAATCTTTGGTGCATGTCCCTGCTCTGAATGACATGCCATGCCTTTTGATGGCTTGAACTTTGGGAAAGATTTTTTCCTTTTTTTTTTTAGTTTTTTTGAAGCATCCATGCCATGTCTATTATACCTTCCCCTCCAAGCTTTGTCTTCTTCCATGACTTTTTCCCCTGCTTTTGCAACATCTCTGAGCTCAGTTTGGGCATGTTTTGGTTTTTTGCACTGCTCTGATAGAATCCCGGTCCATTTTCTCATACTCACTAAATTGCCCAAATTTCCACATTTTCTTTTTTTTCTCCTCCAATTGCAATTCCTTTGATGCTATCTCCTTTCCAGCGTGTTTCTAAGTCCTTCCTTTTGCTTTTGGCCTTTAGCGGGGATCAATTTTGGCAAGCTTTGCTGCATCTGCCTGCACTTGATAGCGTACGGGAAAGATTTTTTTTTTTTTTTTTTTTTTTTGTTAAGCATCCATGCCATGTCTATTATACCTTCCCCTCCAAGCTTTGTCTTCTTCCTTGACTTTTTCCCCTGCTTTTGCAACGTCTCTGAGCTCAGTTTGGGCGTGTTTTGGTTTTTTCCATTTTCTCATACTCACTAAATTGCCCAAATTTCCACATTTTCTTTTTTTTCTCCTCCAATTGCAATTCCTTTGATGCTATCTCCTTTCCAGCGTGTTTCTAAGTCCTTCCTTTTGCTTTGGGCCTTTAGCGGGGATCAATTTTGGCAAGCTTTGCTGCATCTGCCTGCACTTGATAGCGTACGGGAAAGATTTTTTTTTTTTGTTAAGCATCCATGCCATGTCTATTATACCTTCCCCTCCAAGCTTTGTCTTCTTCCTTGACTTTTTCCCCTGCTTTTGCAATGTCTGTGAGCTTAGTTTGGGCATCTTTTGGTCCTTTGCAATGCAGCTTATTTCCTCACAGACCATTTCTTGAAGATACTACAACGCCCCATTTTCTGGTTTTTTGGGGTTTTTTTCAGTTGCATTTCATTTGATCCTATCTCCTTTCCAGAGTGTTTGGAAGCCTTTCTTTTTGGATTCGCAAGATTCCGTTTCCCTTCCCGAAAGGAAATGAAATTTCCTTTCGGGAAGGGAAACGGAATCTTGCGATTTCAATGGGGACCAAGAGAGGAATCTTTGGGGCATGTCCCTGCTCTGAATGACATGCCATGCCTTTTGATGGCTTGAACTTTGGGAAAGATTTTTTCCTTTTTTTTTTTAGTTTTTTTGAAGCATCCATGCCATGTCTATTATACCTTCCCCTCCAAGCTTTGTCTTCTTCCTTGACTTTTTCCCCTGCTTTTGCAACGTCTCTGAGCTCAGTTTGGGCATGTTTTGGTTTTTTGCACTGCTCTGATAGAATCCCGGTCCATTTTCTCATACTCACTAAATTGCCCAAATTTCCACATTTTCTTTCTTTTCTCCTCCAATTGCAATTCCTTTGATGCTATCTCCTTTCCAGCATGTTTCTAAGTCCTTCCTTTCTCCTTTGGCCTTCAGCGGGGATCAATTTTGGCAAGCTTTGCTGCATCTGCCTGCATTTGATAGTGTATGGGAAAGATTTTTTATTTTTTTTTTAACCATCCGTGTCTATTATACCTTCCCCTCCAAGCTTTTTCTACTTCCATGACTTTTTCCCCTGCTTTTGCAACGTCTTTGAGCGTTTTTTGGGCATGTTTTGCCCTTTGCAATGCAGCTCATTTCCTAACTGGCCATTTCTTGAAGCTTCTAAAACGCCCGATTTTCTGGATTTTTGGAGTTTTTTTTCAATTGCATGTCATTTGATCCTATCTCCTTTCCAGAGTGTTTGGAAGCCTTTTTTTTCGGATTCGTAATATTCCGTTTGCATTCTCGAAAGAAATAAAGTACAGCTGCCTTGAACTTAAACCAAAGCTTTAATCCTTTGAAAATATTGGGTTTTTTACCTAGTCTCTATAGTATAATCTTTGGAGATACATTATTATAAGCCCATTTTTCATTCAAAGCATATTAGCTGTTTCTCATACAGAGCTACGTGTTAGTAAGATTTTTAAAAATAAATCTTTTCTTTACACTAACCCTGTAGCAATTTAGATGAGCACTCTGATTAAAAGAGAAAGAGCTTCTTAATTAATAGTCTTGCTGATTCTCCCTATAGCTTAATTAAAATAAACAAGCAGCAGAATTTTAATATGAGCATTTCTAATAAGATTTTTTTTTAATCAGCTCTTTTTACTCCTAATACTTCTAGCAAAAAGTGGCTCTTTTCTCATTAGGCTTTCTCATTTTTCATTAGGCTTTTTCATAGGGCTGAATCCTTCACTTGTCCTTTTAGGATAATTACAGACAAATGTACAAGTTTACCAGAAAGATTGTGATGTCCTAAAGGGGATACATTAAGTTGTTTACTTAAATTAAATGTAAGCCTGCTTTACCTTTGGGGATACTGCTTATTTGTGCAAAAAGAAATACGGAAACCCACAACAAATTAATTCAAGTAAACATCAAATGTGGTTAATATTATTTTTCTGTTATAGGCCTCTGACTTAGTTATTTTAACTGGTACCATATAGTATGTAAATTAAATGTTATTTACCAGCTGATTTAACATTTAATGCTTCTAATGTAAGCTATTCTTACTAAATTAAGACTGAAAAAATATCAAAATTTTATTGCTTTCTTTTGCCTTAGATTCATTAGTTCACCATTTTACTGGGGCTGTAGGAGCTGGAGACTGTCATCACTATGAGCTGCTAGATTTCACAGATAAACTGTTCCAAATTATAGGAGATTCTTTACAGGTATACTATGGACTAGAGATCCAGAATTGCACGTTTTAATGCAGTTTCCTTAATGAGGTTTTTTTTTTTGTGTTGGTAACTCCCCAAAATTGCTATGTCAAGAGGAAAATGGTTCACAAGTAGTATGATACATCATAATATATCATCATTCATAGGTATTAACCTAGCTCTTTGAGACCATAAATTTGCTGTATGTACCAGAAAAATCTCTCATGCTGCACTGGAAATGAAAGTCCCCACCTCGTTAAAACTGTTGATGCTATTATCGTGTTTTGCTCAAGAATGGGATGACAGGGGGCTTTGTTTCTGCCTACATATAGTCCCTAAAAGTACTACACCTACTGTGTCCTTTCTGCAGCACTGATAGTTTGCTCACTGCTCCCCTTTTAGCACCTGCTGCTCCTGCCATTTTTGGTGGTCATTGCTGTAGAGGTTATAGAGAAATCACACAGCAGCTCCAGCTGCTGAGATTAAGTGTCCCAGGACATTGCTCATCCACAAGAAATGCAATTTTTTGCAAAGGTTTGCTTAGTCAAGCAAACAAAGCAAAGTCCTGAGCCAGAAAATACTCTACTAACTTTGGTAGGACTGTCTCCATATTTAAAACTGGGCATACATACAAGATAGGGACTTCTACAGTCTTTTGCAAGAAGCTCTGAGAGAAACTGTATAGTCTAAAGACATATACAAAGATTTTTCCTAAATTAAAATTCAGTTTAAGGGCAAAATAGGAAAGATAATCTTATTTACTGAAATACTTACAAGTAATTTCCATGTGTAGTCACAAGTTCCTAAGCAGTTCACTCTGAATCCTCCTCATCAGCTGCAGCTTGTTTACTTTATTAGGCTATTTTGAGAGTTTCTCTTTAAATCCCCTGCACCCTCCTGCACTCAAGGTAAGTTGTGGGAACCTGGTTTTGTAGGGTTGATTGTGTCCCTGTTCTTTGAGATGTCCCCTCTATAGAACAACTGTACTAAGTTTTCCAGGAGGCATCTCTTCAGCCCTTCATTCACCCCACCAAACAGCTGTCAACAGGGGAAAAACCAACCAGGTAAGGGTTTACTATGCTGATAGCATTTGCTCTGTTTTTATGTGTTATAACAAGAATGTGGAAGGATCAAGAGAAGTCAAAAATGAGCCTTATTGCCAGAAGGACTGTCTTGCTCCTGCAACTGCTACAAACTGCCACTTGTAAAGCAGTTAAAAATATTCTTGTTGCTTACCTTAATGTGAAGGCCACTGTTATTTCTGTGTCTCTGTAAGAATTGCAAGTGGAGAGCAGTCATGAGGAACTTTGCTAACCCATGCACCTCCTTGTTGTCTTGTAGAGCAGGAAAATGGGACCAGGGCAAACCATGGAGAGCCTGCTATCAAGCATGCATGGTTCAAATCACCCCAAAACAGTGCCTAGAAGATCTGTTCCAAAGGTGAACAAATGCACTCAAGTTAACATGGACTTGGAGGAGAAGAAGCCCAGTGCAGACCTGAGCCTTTCTAGGAAGTCAGAGCATTGTCCAGGGAGCACATCACCTTCCCAGAAGGACATTTCCTCTTCTTCCCAAGAACAGTCTGTCATGCCAGCTCTGCTACCACAGCTGCCCCCACCTCCACCCCTACCTCCTGGGTGCAAGGTGCCCCTTCCCCCTGTTTCCACGCCTGGCATAATTGTCCCATCACTCCCATCTCCTCAGCCATGCAGCAATCCTGGGTGCAGCCATCCTCCCTGTGGCTGTGGGGAGCAGCCCCAGGCTAGGAAGACACCAACACTGAGGATGAAGGTGCTTCACTGGCAGAAGCTGCCCTGTGACGTGGTGAGACGTACGTGCTTGTTTGTAGCACTGGGCTGATGGGTTCATGCACTTTGCAGCTAGAGGAAAGCACTGATGTTGGGGGAATTAACCTTCACTCATAAGTCAGGTCACACGTGGTTCCATTGCTTGATCTCAATCATAATCACAAAATGAATATGGAAAGGCAGTTCTCTGCTAATTGGTGGAGGAAATGGTAGTTTGGGAGAAGCTCTGGGCTGAGGTTCTGTGGCTGCTGAAGTTACCTTCTCTTAACCTCTCAATCTCTGTTATTTGTTGATGGGATGTTGTGAGCCTGCACTGATTAAGGTTTGCAAAATGCTCTGAGTGTGTGGAGTGGAAAGATCCTTTGAATGGTCATGTTCTGTGTTCTTCTTAATGAATTGCTGGTGCATCACCAGTGAGTGAACTCTCAGCTGATAGTTTTACTTTGCTTTTTATGTTCTTGCACAGCCAAAAGGTGCATCAGCCAAGATCTGAGGCTGAAAACTCTTGTCAGTTGGGCTGGGGAATGTGTACCTTCAGAGTAGCCCCCAACTTCATTACAGGGATGAGATTTGTGTGGTGTTTCACACACACACAAAATAACCCTGAGTCTGTGGTTAGTGTGTGCCAAAGGGGCTCAAAGGTCTTGGCTGACTTCCAGCAAAGAGGCTGGAAACACATCTCCAGTTTTTAATACTCGGTTCACACAACACAGATCTCAGTTCTTCCTTGCTTATCTCCAGGACAAGGGGTCATAAGGGGCAAGAACTTGCTGCTGTGATAAAATATATAAACACAGATATAAAAAAACCTGAGCCATGGACCACCGTCCTTGTGCAGAGACACAAACTGAGATTCATCCCCAATGCATTCAGTGTTACTGTTGCAATCTCTCCTAAACCAAAAGGAGGTGAGATCCTGTCTTAAAGGTTCCCATGTTGTACAAAATCACGTTTGGAAGTTCTGTTTGGTTTTTGGATAGGTCCCAATGATTCTGGTAATAATGTTGGGCTTGGGAGTCTTTATCTCTTGCAAAAAGAGATGTTTACTTAATTGGATGCAGCATCCCCTGTTTTGGTACCACAATCAATGTGTAGCTGGTCAGTTTGGAGCAGCCCATTAAGTTCATCTGCTGCCTTCAGCTCAGTGAATTGAATGTGGCAGTAATGTTCCAGGTTTAATTAGGCTTCAAACTTTTGGGATGCCCTCTGTGGGAGCTGTCACTCTTAAATATTTCACATTTTTCCAGGGCTAATGAGCATCATATTTCATTCATCCTCAAAAGTGATTTCCCTTTTACAAATCACACTACCTTGAAACTGCTCCTCAACCTCTGTGGTCCATCTTGAACTTTTATTCTCTTCCAGAAAGCCACTCCATATGGGCTGTGATGCCAAGCAGCAGCAAAGAGCTTGTGGAACCTGACTATGCAAGCTTGGAGCTCCTTTTCTCAGTCCCATCAAGAATCCCTACAGAGAAAACAGGGCCAAAAATAAAGAAAACAAAAGAGGTACTTGGACTGCCCACTTTTTGTAGAAAATAGCAAAGTTGTTGGAAGTGAAAAGCTTATTCATTCTTTGTCGTTGTCAATCATTTATAACAAGAAAGTTTGAAATATTTTGAGATCCACTGCCTGAGGCTGCCTTAAAAAAAAAAAATCAGGGGAGGTTTAGAATGAAACAAGTTGAAATAACTCTGCTGAGGGATAGGTCTTCATCTGAGGCAGGGAGGACATGGGAATTTCAATATTAATTCTTATGAACTGGAATAAGCAAATCAATTTCCATCAATTTCCTTCTTTATGCCTTTGCCTCTTTCTAAAACATACCTAATAGCCTGTATTGTTGTCATTGGGATTTGATCAATGAAGGTTATTGATTATATTATTACCAAAAAAGAATAAATCTCAACCAATAAACAAACAAAACCTATAGAAAACCTGTTAAATCCAAAGTAAATGTATTTCTAGCTGACTGATTTTTTCCTTTTTACAGATCACATTCATAGGTCCAAAGAAAAGCCTCCTTCTGAGTATATTTCTGAAGCAATTTAAGTGGTAAGATTTGGAGAATAACATCTGAATTACAGATTTGATGTGTCTATGTGTTAATTCAGATATTAAATGAAATTAATTTAGCAAAAATACTTTGCAAGTACTATCTTCCTTTAACAAGAAGTCAACTTTTTTCTTTTTTTTTAAAAATAATGATAGGTGACAGTCTCTTTTCAGACAATTAATATCATTTTTCAAGCTGGTATTAAATCTAGAATGGACTACAGGTTCCTAAAGAGACAATTTTCATAAATAACAGTACAGTTATATAGAAACATGTTTTTCTTTAGTATTATTGTCATAAATATCAAATTTTGGCAGGAACTGTTAGTGAAGATTGTTGAATGGGAGTTTCAAGTCACTTAATTGCTTTTAAAGAGGCTTTTCCAGGGATTCATAGTCAAAATTATACACAGTTTTTATGTGCAGTTTTTCTATAAATAGGAAGCTGTTTGAATAACTAAAGAAATGGAAAATTACCAAGTCACAGCCCTCATGGAGGGCTGGGGGAGGAAAGGAATTTGTACTAGTTTTTGGGAAAATATCTTTACTCTTAGATTCCCTGAAAATATGGCAGGATGATGATGGATGTTCTGCTCTCTCTCTGCCCTCGTGTCATGGCCCATGTTAAAAGGGTTTCAAGAAGAAACTCAGCCAAGAAATCCCTTTTCATTAAGAATAAATCAGAATCAGTCAGAGGGATGTTTTTAATTATTATTATTCTTTTTCCATGACAAACTGCTTCTCAGTGGGGGAGAATGGTACATAGCCTAATGCAGATGCTATTTCCTCTTCCTGTATGATTCCCTGGGCAGTGGTTGAGCTCTCCTGGGAGCAGCTGGGATCAAAGAGCTGAGTCCCACTGTACTTGGAGGGATGAAGCTGCTCTGGAGCTGGGCGCTGCCTCTGTTAGCACTGGTGGCTGAGTGAGCCCAGCTCTCCAGAGCCCAAACCTCAGCAATCTGGAAGCATTTCAAACACTTGTTGCCTGCCAAAGTTTCAGGCAAGGATTTGAGTTAAAACCTTCTGTGAGCCATTGGTTTTATCTTTGCCTTTGCTGCAAATGGTGGAGGAATTCAAATGTAAATACCTTCTCAGTGACAGTGGATACCCACAGTAAAAGCAGAGCTTTGGGGTTTGTTGTGTAAATATGAACAAAGGCCAAAAAGCACACCTAAATTATAATTAATAGCACTTTAGGCTTAAAAGAAAAACATTTTCATATCTCCACAGTGCTTTTGAGGACTAAGATCCAAATTATAATGGCAGGCAAGTATAGTATGATTTACTTCAGTTGCTCCTGGAGTGCCAGCAGAGAGATTGAGGTCTTTTTTACCATGTTACTCCCCCAGTGCTCCACATCATTTCTCTCCTTCTTGCAGCTCCAATGAAGAGATTGCTGCCATGATTCAGAACGGGGATAGATCCAAGCTGGATGCTGAGATACTGAGACAGCTACTTAAACTGCTCCCTGAAGACCAGGAGGTATCTATTAACATGTCATTCTGGTGCAGTTCAGTGCTCAGCTTGAAATACTTGCACTGCTAAAGCAAGAAGCTACGATTGGATCCCACATCCTTCTGCAGCATCTAGGTCAATGAAATTCCAAGGCAGAGTGGTGGGAAGTCCATCCCAGCATCCTGGCCTCTTCACACAAAGGTTGAGCAAGAACATGTTGGGAGACTCAACACAGGTGTAGACAAAGTGCTGCTCTCTATCCTATTATTTTAATTAAGTGGATGAAGCACAATAGGTTTTGTAGACTTAGGTGAACAGAGAGCCTTTCAGAGCAAGTTTTAAAAGGAGGAAGGGAAAAGGACCCTCTTTTCAAAGGGTTTCTGGGTGCCTGTGCACTATAGCTTCCTGAATCTCTGCCTACAGGTCAGGAATTCATCCTAGGAGATGCTGCACAAAGAAAAAAGACCTTCCAGTCAAAACAAAACCTACATGTTTGCCCATGCAAACCAGTTCATATGTAGAATTTATGGTTCATCTGCTTCATTCCCATTGCCTGTGCACACAGCAAGTTTAGAAAAGCAAGTTTCATGCCTGTAAGAAGAGAATGGCACCAGAAATTTTTGTGTGGTTATTTTCCCTGTTAAATTAAATTGTGTGGTTATTTTGCTCTTTTATTCTCTGTTAGATAAATAGCCTGAAATCTTGCAAAAAAGAAAAATCACAGCTGGCAAATGCAGATCAGTTTTATCTCCATCTTTTGGAAGTTCCCAGGTAAGCAAAATCTTCCTTATCTCTTGCCATGAGTGTGGTTCTTACAAGACTTGTCTATAAAAATTAAGGCCTCTGTTTCTTGTGCTAGAGGGGTGTTCCTGACATCCAGTCTTCAGGATAAATCATCTGACTGCTATTTGTAGACCTTGTATGAGAAATTTTTTTTCCTCCCCAAAGGCCAGAGAAACTTTCAGACACCTTTGGCAAACTACAGTTAAAATAACCTTGGTATGAAAAATCCCTTGACTGTTGAGCAGCTATTCCTGTGTGGAGTGAAGCTGCAGACTGAATCCTGTCACCAGGCTGCTGATTCACTCCCCCCTGGGCTACAGATCCCAGTTCACCCACTGGAGAGCCCACAAATCCAAGAGTAAATCACAGCAGTGCCTGTGCTTTCACCACCTCCCCAGTTTTTACCAAGTCAAATGAGGTGCACACAGAGAACTCTTTCTGCTGCTCACAAAAAGATGGTGATATATTATAATTAATAGCAGTAGCCCTCCATAAATCTGATCAGTTGCCATGCCACAACCAGAGACACTTTTTTGAAAATGTGGTGGTGAAAATAGGGCTTTTCATTTTCTCAAACTTCTAGCTAGATTTAAAAGTACTTTAGAAAATTGTTTCCTTCCACAATATTAATCTGTGATGAAGCATAAATGTTATTAAAGAACATTACTGCCAAAATATTTCAAATTTGTTTGTGAAGTTAAAAAGAACTAAAATCCTGGCTAGTCTTGCCTGGGAATTGTAAAAAATTATGGCCTCATTATGCAAGGTAGTCACTGCCAGATGTCAGTCCAGCATTGCTTTCTGAAAGAGGAGATGATAATAGTTTCTAGGACATCTTTGGAAATATCTGTGTTTGATTTATTTATAATCCAGTTCTCATGTCAGAGCATTAAGGAGACCATAAGAATGTTGGTACTGTGCTTTGCCTAAAATGGATGATGCTCTTGCTGAACACAAGTCAATTAATCAGGCCTGTGGGGTTTGTTTTTCGTGGTGTTTGTTGTGGTTTTTTCCACTGATCTCCTTTTAGCTACCAGTTGAGGATTGAATGTATGCTGATTTGTGAGGAAACAAAAATTCTGCTGGAGTGTCTGTGGCCAAAAGCACAAGCCATCAGGACAGCCTGTGAAAGTAAGTACATCAGTGCTGCACCAGTGCCTGGGTTCAGCCACTTTCTTCTACTTGATTAGCATCAGTGGTAGCCTATGCTATAATCTAATCAAAATTAACCTTTTAATTGCTGAATGTGTAGTGAACATCAAAATGATTCTGCAAGTTCCTTCTTCTAGAGTACATTCTGAAAAATTGCAGTTTGTGCTGTTCTGCTCAGAAGTAGTAGTTTTTCAGAGAAATAAGGAAATATCCTTCATCAGAGAATCACAGAATGGTTTGGGTTGGAAAGGGCCTTAAAGATGATCCCATTCCAACCTCCCTCCCATGGGCAGGAGCACCTTGCCCTAGACCAGCTTGCTCAGAGCCCTACTCAGCCTGGCCTTGAACACTTCCAGGGTTCACAGAATCATTTAGATTGGAAAAGATCTCTAAGATCACTGGGTCCAACCTTTGACCCATCAACACCTTATCAACTAGACCTTAACACTAAGTGCCAAGTTGTTTCTTGAACGCCTTCAGGAATGGTGACTCTGCCTCCCTGGGCAGTTCATTCCACTACTTACCAACACTTTCTGTTAATAAATTCCTCCTGATGTCCAACCTGAACCTTGCCTGGTGCAGCTTGAGGGTGTGTTCTCTCATCCTGTCACTGGGAGAAGAGGCCAAACTCCCTTTACAACTTTTCAAGGACTTGTCGACAGCAGTAAGGTCTCTTCTGAGATGGAGGTGTCAGTGCCAGATCCTGTATAAGTATAGGTTACATTTTTGTGTGCAGAGATTTTTGTCCATAACAATGAATCAATTGTAACTATTTTTCCTGTAGTGTGCACTGATGCAGTCCAGCTTATCTCTGTGGTGGAGCAGAACACAGTGATGTACCAGAATCTGATGTGGCTGCCAGAAAAAGGCATCCCAGATGATGCCTCCACCCAAAATTAACCCTGGTTTAGTTTTGTCTCTTTATTGCAGATGCTCTTGCATTCCAGCTTCAGTTCAATAGTTTCAGAGAGTCATTGATCTCCTGTTAAACACTTAAACTGCAAACTTTTATTTTCACACACAAAACAGGGCGATACCTGGATGTCTGGTGTCAGTGCTGTGGTTACTCTTTATTGGAGTGCAATCAACAGCTCTCTGTAGTCCCACCCTGACATCCCTGCTCCCGCTCCATCCCATTGTGAGGCTCAGTGTTTCTGTTCTAATTCTGCTGAAAACTTTATTCTTACCCCAGATTCTTCTGCAAAAATGTGCATCTTTTCATTATCATTCTCACTAACAATGATAACAAGGCACAAAAAGCCCTTTGCTTCTCTTAACTAGAATGATATGTGCTGGTAATGAGGACTATAGCCTTTCACAAGTGTATACACTTTCTTGTATGTGGTTCTCCTTCATAAGGCAGCTGTAGGGTTGACACATCTATACTCCAAACTTAATGGAAAAACTAGTTTTCCATCTACTTCGGAAGAAAAGAACACAATAGAAAGTTACTCATTTCACTTCCATTCAGCTGATTTATTTCTGTACTGGTATTTTCCCAAACCCATAACAATGGCTTGACATAATCTTGGATGAAAATTTTGTTACCATCACTGGCAAACCTAATGAAAATCCTATTTCAGATAATTTAATTTAATTTATTGAAAATGTCTCTCTCTTCTTATTTTTTAGCAATTCTTACCAGTCACCGACTGCCAGTGTTCTGCCAATTGATTCTTAAAGTTGGAAACTTTCTGAACTATGTAAGTAAAATGATTTCTTTACTTTTGTATTCTAAAGATAACAAAATAATGCAAGACTTGAAAACTGAAAGAAGGAACTTTTTTCTGTATCTTCCAGGGGCGTCACACTGGAGATGCTGGAGGTTTTAAAATTAATGCCTTGCTCAAACTAACAGAAACAAAAGCAAACCAAAACAACATTACTCTTCTTCACCATATTTTGGAGGTACAACAAAACTGAGAAATTAATCTTGTGTGCATTATTCTCAAGTATTAATTCCCCAGAAGCTAAGGGGCTTTTACCTCAGTAATAGCCCGCTATAGGTAACTGGAAGGTGAGCCTCTGTGCTGGAAATACCATGGAAACTTTTCCACAGCTCTCTGTGCAGATGAGATCACATCCATACACAGTAATATTTAGAGAAGTAACACTAGGTTTCCTTCCTCAAATTCACTTGACATGTCTGCTTGCTGTTTTCTTTCTCTTCTTCAACCGCTCCCTTGTGTTGACACATATCCCAAATGCATCTGTCAAATGAAATTTATTTTTGTGGTATGAAGACAAAATCTCAGGTCAGCCTGCACACTGTGGCAGCCCATGGGATGTCAGCCTGAGCACTTAAAATGAGTCTGTTCCTTTCTTTTTAACTCCCTGTGGATGCCAACATGAGAAAAAGAATGAACAAGACTAAATTTATCCCTACACTTATAACAACGAAAATGAAGTGTTAAGTTTTCAGTCCTGATGTTGTCCAGCTGAAAAACTTTCATGCTCTTTGACAGTGTGTATAAGATAACCATTTTTTCTCTTCAATTTTAGGAGGTTGAAAAAAACCACAGAGATCTCCTGCAGCTTCCCAGAGATCTTGACTTTGTTTCCAAGGCAGTGGGGTAGGACATTATTGTTTGTTTTTGTCATGTTTGAATTGCCAACCTCTTTAAAGCCAGCAAGGAGCTGAGTCATTTTATGGTGCTGTAATAAGGTCACAGGATTTCTCTGCTGTAGGAGAGAGTGGTTCCCTTCAACACCAAACAGTGTTGAAATTTTCACATTTCAATCTGGTTAAGACTTTTTGGTGGGGCTCAGTGTGATTTTTCTTTCTGTGGATCCAGTACTGCTTTAGAAGCAAAGTGTGTAGATAGTGAATTTCCCTCTTTTTCAAGGACCAGATTCTTCTTCCACATATTGCAATAGAAACATATCTTCCCTGAGGTTTCTCAGTCAGTCCAAAAAGTGCTTGGACAATACTTTTGGGGTACACAATGTGACTCTTGGGGATGGTCCTGTGCAGGGCCAGGAGTTGGACTTGATGATCTTGGTGGGTCCCTTCCAATTCAGCACATTCTGTGATTTTAGGTGAAAGCCCGTCTGAAGGTACAAAGCTTATGTAAGAAGGGAACAATTGGGGTGGTTTACTGGCAGCTGGGGGGGATCTCAGGACTCCCAGAGTTGACTATCAGCACATGTTTCTAATACATGTGGGTAGAAAGTCAAAAGTCTCCAGAAACAGGTTTTTTCTTTTCATGTGCCAGAAAGCCTAATGAGTCTATCACCAGCTCTTTCTCTTTAACTCAAAGGAGTCATGTGGAGATATGTTCAGTTAAACCAATCAGAATCCACATTTGTAGCACCAGGATTAACATTTTTAATCCTGTTATGAATCCAGAGGATTCACAGGAACCTTGTAGTGATTTTGATTTCATTGTAACTCAAAGAAGGAGTAACTTCTAAATCTGCCAGTGGATTGACATTTATTATGTAGCTGCTAAATAATTTTTGAAAGTATTTTAATTCCATAATTTAATTCCTGTGGCTTTTGTAAGTTAGCTTTGCAGAAGATAAACTGAATGCTGTTTCAACTGTGAATTTCTTTTTGGATTGTGTCATAACAGAAATACATTTCTTGACTAAAACTAGGTCTTGCTGGCCAATTACATAAATGCACATTTTGTATAAAGTAATTGCCCTCTACTTTAGTCAAGCTCTCAAACTTAGAAAATTGATTTGCTAACCAACCTGTGGAGACCAGTGCATGGTGCAAATCCTGCAAAGGACTCTCCTAACGCTGCTCACATCTGGATGCACCATGAAACACCAAGCCAGGTTTTGCTGATTCAGTAAATTTTGTCTGGCACAGAGAGTAGTTCAGAACTATGGAAGATGTTGGTTTGGCAGTGGTTGTGTTTGGATCTCCACACAAGCTAAAGTAACACAGAGAGCAGACAAAATTTTGGACTATAATTAGATTGGGGAGAAAAGGCAAGGAGGGAAAAGAACCAGCTACATAAGGACAGTGCTGGCACTGGGGAGATGAGCTTGTGTTGCCTATGAATAAAAATAGGCTGGAATTTTTTTGAAGTTTTTTGAATACTAGGACAGTGAGGTTCTTCCACAGTCCATCCAGGGAGGTAGCGAGAGCAAAAGCACAGAGTCTTTCTTAGATGAGGGTTTGTGAACATGAAAACGCGTTTATACAGAAAAGAACTACCTGCAAAAGCTGGGCTGGACAATTAATTCCATGTTCATTTGCAGAGATGATACTGTTTATAATAACATTTAAGTTAATGCAAACAAAAGACTTACCTCTTCAATGTACTGTCCCTTTTGTGGACCTTTCAGAATCCACATTGATGCCATGCAGGCTGAGGCAGGTGCCAATTTGAAGAAACTGTTGGAAATAGAGAAACGTTTATTTTTGTCAACAGATGATTTAAAAATACAGCATGGAAAATCTGTGCAAGTAGGTAATGTGAGTGTGACACGTTTCCCATCTTTCTTCCTAAGCACTCTCTTCTTAAAGGCTGTGTAATTCAGATTACAACTGGACATAAAGCCCTATGGGAAAGGGGTCATTACTACCCTCCCACTGTGCCCCAATACAAGGAGTATGCCAGATTTTCCTCCATTTCTGTAATGTGGTACTGGATATGAAACAGCTGAGAACCAGACAAATTTTTCTGTGGGTAAAAGAAAGGAAGGCCCTAAAATTAAATGTGGGCTGCAACTATAAATGTGTACAGCACAGCACAGAAACATGTTTTGTCTCACTGTGCTTTGTGAGGAAAAAAAGTGGACAGATTTGGAATATGCTTTTCCCTCCCCTCCACCAAAGCCTTATTTCCTAACATCCTAGATTTTCATATACTCAGAATGGGTCACTTAACTAAAGCTGTAAGGTAGAAATCCTGGTGCTGCATGTCCCTTACTCGCTCATCCCAGGTTGGGCCTCATTTCCACATGGTTGTATGATGAAATGAGGGAAAATGCAGATGATTCAATTCAGAAATAAATATCACACATTGTGAACCAATCTTAGTTTTTTAAAAACTCACTGCTCTCTGTTAAGTGGCTGAAATCTTCTGGGCAGCTCAGAATACGCTACTTCTTAATATGCATAAATTGTACATCAAAATGTGTCTCAGGGCAGCCTCAATGCTTCAAAGGACCTGCAGAAGGAATTTGCCACCATTGAAAAGAAGAAGGAAGAACTTGCAGATTATCTTTGTGAAGACCGAAAAAACCTGTCTTTGGAAGATGTATTCAGCACAATGAAAACCTTCAGAGAGATCTTCCTCAAGACCTTACAGGTGGTTTCCCCTTGTGGCTGTTTAGAAATAGGTTGAGATCTTTCTCTTTTTTTAAATCAAGCAATAATTTCTATTTTCTTCTGCTCTAAGCAGGGCTATGTAACCCTGGTTGCAGAAGTAAATGAAGGTAAATTTATGCGCTTGCAAACTGCAGCAGAAAATAAGTATGTGGGCAAATGCAAAATTTGGGGTCTTTTGGTTTTTTTGTGGGGTTTAGTTTTGTTGGTTGGCTGCTTGGTTTGTTTTTTTTCTTTTGGGGGGGGGGGGGGGGGAGGTTGGGTTTTTTTGCTGTTGAGAACAGTTTAAGTCATTTCTCCCACTGACAATTATTTACCAGACCTGAATGTAATAGGACCTTTGTGGCATGTGAAAGAATGTGCAACCTGACATGCTTTATAGACTTTGCTGATAGACAAAAGGTAAATTTTCCAATAGGCAAAGCCTAACTAGAAGGTGTGTTTATGTGTTGGTATCTCATTGTACTAGTTAGCTCCCAAGAGTGTGTTTTGTGTTCCAAAAAACCCTTCCAAATCTCCCAATGGAATATATTTCTTAACTTACAGGACTTTACTCCTCACAATAAGGAGTACAGCAACTTCACCATAAAAGTTGTGTAGAGCACCTTCAAATTTGTAAACTCTCTAGTAAACCTCTATTTCATTTCCCTTACTACACACTTCACACCTGGACTAATGTCCTTCCTTTAGGGTTTTCTTAATGCCAGGTGATGGTGGCTTCACATTCATACATATTTAACAGCAAGGATCACCCATTCCTGTGCTGACTCCAGGAGAGCCCCAGCCTGGATAAACCTTCTGTAGAGAGAACCATCTGTATTGCAAGAAGAACTGCAAGAATACAGACAGCTCTGCTGCCAAGAGAGACTGGAGGAGTGCTTCAGGGCAGATCATGGATTCAGATGAAAACAATCACGTTTCTGAGGAAGTTATAGAAGACAAAAGACAAAAAATAAATCCTCTACTGTTCCCACTGCCTGCTTCTCCAGTAAAGCACTGAGCTGAAATTTTCCAAGCAACGCAGCTACCTGGGCTCTGAAATGATGTGATACTGCCACAGACAGTCTGGAAAATTAACCCTACAAACCACAGATGTTTTGGCAATAGGCTTGATCCTTAAAGTTCCTAAAATTCTAGGCATAAAGAAAAGAACTAAGAGAGCCAAGAACACAATGGGTCAGCATCTGTGGAGAGCTATACTGGAAATTTACTGCAAAGGGTAATTTCAGCAATGGCAGTTCTTTCAAGAAACAGTCCCAGTAAAGGTTATAGAGTGTCCTAGTACAGCTGCAGGAGACTCAAACTACATTTCTGGGTGCTTCTTGCTCTCAGCCAGGTCAGAGAAACTAGAAAGAAGCTTCTTTTTGTATCCCAGAATGTAAACTCCTTTTCACCTCATTTTGCATTCCATTTCTGAGCAGCACCTCACCTGAAAGGTACCACAGCTATTAGCCATGTTGTCTGCACCTCTCTCCTCCACTGCAGACCTAGAATTAATCTCCTCTTTCTCTTGCCTTTCTTTCTCACTATTACCTCAGTAAAAATACTATTTGTACTTGAAACAGCAACATGCTGAAAAGCTTAAGATTTTAATTTTTAAAGCATCTTTTTATTCTGTGATTTTGATTTTTACACTAGAATCATGCCACAGGCATCATCTCTTCCCAGTGCCATTTATTTTAAGCTTTAATGCTAAGGTGTAACTTTTATTTTGAGATGAGTCTTCTGTGTAAAGCAGGTCTCTTAGCACTGCCAAAGTTGTTAGTGCTAACTTTCCATTCCCATATCAAATAAGAAGAGAAATAGTTTTGATAAATAGTGATTCTTCATGTCTCTTAAGCTTATCTACAGAGAATTTGGTTTATTACTTTCTTCAAACAAAATCTTTCTCCCTTCCCTGAGGGTTCTTTCTGATCCCTTATCCTTCAGGTAATAAATTGAGTTACACAAATGGAATTACTTTAATAAGACTCTGCCATCTTTCTCTCCATCTACCTGGAGGAAAAAAGCCCAAATCAACAAAGTCTTTCCAAATACCCAAATGATATCCAAAACTGACAAAGTGAAAGGAAGCAAGGGAGCTGGTTTGTCATCCAGGGCTGATGACTGTTTCACCAGTTCTCAAAAAATAAAAGAAGCAGATGGCAGGAGGAAGGAGACAGGGAGAAAATAGCTCCTCAGCTCAAAGACAAAAAATCAGAAATGGAGTTTTGCTTAGAACTGAGTGGCAAAATTGTGGGGAAAATAATCACTGTGTGATTATAGAGGATTGTGGGAAACATTTGATTTCCCTTAGCATTTGCAGCTGTTCTTAGAAGGGACCTCCCAGCAAAGAGATGGTCTTATCTCAGGAAAAGGAGAAAAAAGTGTTCCACAGAATCTGCTCTAGGAAGCATTCAGTTGATGGCAGAGGTTCTACAGACAGCTCTGCACAGGGATAGTTCCTCTGTGTCCTCCCCTAGGACAACCACACTGGAGCAGCTGCTCTTCAGTAGGGTGCATACGGTGTTGGAACAGGATGTGCTTTACATAGTGTAGGGATAAACAGCTGTCCTGGAGCATCTTTTAATTCAAAAATCAAGCAAGTATCTAACATCCCACAAAGTGCAAATCCCAAGTGACTCCCTCTTTCACCAAATCTCATCCCTGCAGCTGCCTTCACTAATCCAGGAAGGTGGAGAAGGGTTTGTGAGTATTCATTCCTCTGCCCTACTACCACTGTACCTTTTTGGGCTTTCTTGAAGAAAGTGTTGAAGAAACTTTGTTATGTGTGTTTACATTGGATTGTTAAGTTTTGGGGATTTTTTTTTACAATTTTCCTGAAGAAAAATTTAGTTCAGGCTTGTTCAATTGATCAATTTGTTCCTAATGTGTTTTCGCTTGTTCTCACTACTGTGTGTGCTGTTCAATAAGCAGAACAACACATCCCTGAATTCACCTCCTTTATTTCTTATGGCATATTACATAGAGACATTCTCCCAGGGCCCACAAATCTGCAAGTCTCCCAGCAGCCATAGTATCTCAAAGATGTTATGCTAAGATAGCAGGAATTTATCAGGCAAGCATATAGGAGCCCTATACTGATGGAAGGCTTCTAGCCTCTCATAAAACTTCAGCCATTCTTTCAGAAGCACCCTCTATTTGGGGCTAATGGATCATTTTCTTTCTCTGTCAAGAGTATGCAGATTTTTTTCCTTTTCAAGGCACCCAGTGACAGTTTCCACAACCTTGAGCTTCTAATGCTCCTATATTTCAAACAGATTAACTCTGTTACTACTCACAAGTTTTCTTTATTTGTTTGAAAGTTCCTTTGGACCAAAGGATCCTAGATTTTTACTTTATATAAAGGCTCATTCTATAAACTTGTGCACATTTTCTTGGACTTGTTCAGCTCATCTTATGGAAATAGTGGCAGATGATCTATAGCAATCAAACAGATTTATCACTATCATGGGAAATTGTATTTTCTTCTTCAAACTCTCTGCAAAGCAGACCACACACATCTCATCAAAACTCTTATCTGCACCAAGTCATCAGCATCTTCCTGGGTGTTATTAGGTTTTGTCATATGACACAGCAGCCAATTAAGTACTGATCTACCTGCAATGTGTAGATTAACTACTCACTGGTTGCAATCAAAAGCAGGCAAGCTTCCAGGTGGGATGGCAATGTTCTGGTGACAAATGCAGCTCTGGAACAAGAACTGCAGGAGCATTTAAGAAAATGGCTTTTATCATCTTTATGTTATACTATAGTTATCTCAGTTGGTCAGATCTACCTTCTCCCACTGTTGTGCTAGTTATCAAAAGCCAGTAATACCCTTCCACCTAATAATCATCTTCTTTTGCTAGCAGTAATCATTCCAATCCTTTTTCTTCCTCCATTAATTGTATTATTCTGGTACTAGCAGCTCTGTGGAAACCAGAATCCTGCCTATCTACATAAATCCCAACAGGATTTATGCCATTCTGGCAATTGTGTGAGTGGTACCAATAAACATCCAGCCTGGACTCTGGCCCTGAACTGCAGTGCAGAAATACTACTGGCAAATTTAATGAGAGCCTGAAGAGAAACTGTGAATTGCTGTTTAACACAGCTGAACAGCTCCTGAAAATTCTGGTAGAAATCCCTGAATACAAACAAGGTTGCTATGGGATAAATCTCTAGAATGCTAATTAAGTTAAACTAATGTTCTCTATTGTGGACAAAGGGACTAATTAAGAAGAATGCATTTCAGTCCATAGTTGAAAGTTGCAGTTAAAGCTGATGAAATAGTTTGCTGGTAACATCATCACATGGAGAAGGCCAAAGGGATTGACCAGGAAGCTCTGTTCTGCTGTTTACCCTCAAACCCCAGCAGCTGAGAGTTTTAAGTGCACACAGGGCATGTTCAGAATACCTATTCATTGCAAGCTGAGTGTTTCTTAACAAGGTCTTCCTTCAGAAACTCTTATTTATTGTTTTGTCATTCTGTCTGAATGCAGGAAAATCAAGAAAGGAAGGAGCAAGCTGCAAAATCTGAGAAAAGGAAGAAACGGTTTAAAGGAGAAGATGCAAAGAGGCTAAAGGGAGAGTATGGAAAGTGTCATACATTTAGCAATTAATTGTTTTTATTAGCCAATCTTTTGTTAATTAGAAGGAATTTATCTGTTAGCTCAGGCAGATCTGATGCAATGAGAGTCACTTAGATGATGTAGTTATCAAGCAGATGCATAGTGAGAGATCAATTATCAATTTTCGAGTGCGAGTGAATGCTTGGAAGAAATCATGATAGGGATATTAGAAAAAAATACCACTCTCAATGATCAAGTTTCTCCTACTTTGCTCAGAAGTGGAGGATATCCTGCTATTGTTCTGAATAGTTCTTGGGAGAGTTTTAGGGTTATAGAAAGCTGCACACACTTGAACTCCATGCAGCACAGTAGGCAAGTTGTGTCTGGTGTTACTGTCACCACAACATTTGATTTCTTCTGATCAGAGATCTGGTTCCTTAAAGGAGTGTCTGTGCTGATTGATGCAGAAAAGCACTTGCTGTGCTGGGCCTCCTTGGGTGTGAAGCAGTGCTAATATTGGCATGTGTATATATTCAATTCTTATTTTGGCTAATACTTGGCATCCACTTTTATTGAAGATTTCTGCCAATAACATTTGGTTACAATTCTTGGTTCTTCATAGCACCACTGCAAAGAAGCTATCAGAAGCCACTCCATCTGAGTGGAGTTCATGTATATTTTGTGCTAGATGCTCAACCCTTGGAAGACTGTTGTTTTTCTTGTATCTGGTGTCTAAATAGATGGCCTCCTTTTAGATCCTCTTTCACAGTTATTCACTTTTAGAAATACATTTTTTCGATACTTGAAGTCCATTGAAAACTGACCAAAACAAAGTTTTCAGTATTGTCTTGTCAAGTTCTACCACAAATATGTTTTACATACTTTGCAATCATGACACACTTAATGTAAAGCTGCAGTTTAAAATAAAAAAAAAAACCCTTTTTTCTAGAAATACAAAAGAGGTATATAGTATATGATAAAATAAAATCAGGAAGCAACACTTATCAGCTGTAAGAATTAAAGGTGTGCTTCAGCCCTGTGAAGAAAAGAAGCACCAAACCAGAAGAACCTTCTGTATTTCTAGGAGATAGTTTGGGTGGAACTGTCATTATTTTTGTTCCTTTGTGATAACAAAGGTGAGGTGGATTTAATTCTTGGGGAGTATAAACTTGAACATTAAGAGCATTTAGAGTCTGAATTATTTTTCAGTATTGATTTTAGAGAACTGTGTATAGCAGTGGTGGCAATCAGGAACTTTTAAAATCTATTTTAATCTCAATCAGGGTATGGTGACAAAATAACAGAGGGTATCAGATTGTCACAGCAGGATGCTGAAACTCAACATTCTTCATTCTATGTAAAATGGGAGTTTGGGGTTTTTCTAATCATATAAGCAAGTTGAGGAATTATTTTCTGAAGAAAGGAAAGAAAAGAGTAAATCTGGTGAACCCCTATCAGCCTGTGCTTACAGGATTGTCAAGGCCTGGTTCCACAAAGAATGAAATAACCCTTTAACTTTGCAGGTATCTCCCTTAATGCCAGTGCCACACAGCACTAAGGGCAGTCCTGTGCAGGGATCTTTAAAGGTCCCAATCCTGCAGTCTCTGAATCTCTGACCTTAAGTGCAGTCACATGCTCTGTCAGTGTGAATATCTGATTTGTCCAGTTGTCTGAGGATCATTTCTCTGCAGCTGACAGATCTGCCAGGGACAGCACACAGCAGCAATGTCCCTTAGGGCAAGCAATAATCTTGCTCTCTGGATTTCAAACAGGAGAGTAAAGTCAGAAGCATCAGAAGCACCCATTGCTGATGTATTTAGAGATCACAAGTGAGGGCTTCAACTGCTGAGAACAAAGCTAAGTCAAAAACTGCTACCAAAATTCAAGTGGAGGGTACTAGTTAGACAACTGAGCAATATCTTATTTGATTCCATATATCGAAAACAGCTTTTCTGTGAATAAGATTTGAGATAGGATTTCCAAAATAATTTGGTGACAGCCTCATGCTGATTCCAGGGACTCAGACATTCTAGGGTTGGGGTTTTTTTTTAACTCATCTAGACATGTTTATATATGTATGTTGATTTTTTTCCCCCCATACTTCATAGTGAATTAAACAACTCCCCTGCTTTATTTTCTTCAGCTTCTGTTGCAGCAGCTTTCATTACTTGGCACTTAAATTCTTCTACACAATTCTATCAGATGATTGCAAGAATTATATAAATATGTTATTTCAAGAAAAATAACATATATTGTATATATGTTACTACAAGAGACATAACATCTGGAGATTTCTTTAGCTACTAACCAAGTGGAAAAATTAGCTGCTTCTAATGGAAATTTGGGAATACAGCTAATGACCAGAGTAAGCAACAGAAGAACACTTAAGAACAAAATATGGAAATATTAATTTAAATATCTGGTAAGCATTTACATATGCCACTAAAGTACTGTGACTGCAGCAGAAAATGAAATGTTAAAAGATAAAAAGCAGGTAACTTTTTGATGAACAGTACAGAAGTTCCAGAGGATAACAGCTATTATTACACATAGAAAGCAACTGCATAAGCACACTCTTAATACAATTCCATATATTGATACATCCAGGGTCAAATACAAGAGCTTTCCTCTAGCAAAATTCTTACTGTCTGTTTTTACACAAGACTTGTTTTGCTGTAAGTAACAAGCTGATACATGATAAAATGTG